TTCCGTTGTCCAATGTCATCGAGGCAGACGAGGAACTTTTGCTTCTGACTCCGCTGGTCAAGCCACTCCCAACGTCCGCGGTTTCTCTCTCGGTCGCAGAGTCTGTGCATGGGTCACTGGATCCATTATCGTCGGAACGAACCTCCTCGGTTCTGAGTGGCGAGGGGGTCTTCAAAGAACTTGGACGATCACTCTCGCGGCAGAGAAATGGGCGCGTGTTGCACACCTCCTATACTTCCAACGGCGTGCGTCCCATTCACGAAGACCTCATCCAAAGAGCGAGTGCTGTAGTTGTTGTCACGGCAGATGCAAATCGCAATCTATATCAGCAAGGGTTCTCAAAGCACGTCTCCATGGTCTGCCAATCGCAGTATACCTCATCCGGTGAACTTCGCGAGAGGCCATTGATTGTGGTGGCCGTTAGCTCGCCATATGATTTTGCCATGGATTCTGCCATTGGTACTTATATATGCACGTATGACTTCACGGAAACAGCCCTCCAGGCATTGGTCAAAGTTTTGTATGGCGACTTGACACCCTCAGCGGCCCTGCCTGGTTCCATTGGTCGAACGCAGAAGATTCATCAGTCTCGACAGCACTGGCTTGTCGAAAATTGGAACGAGGATCGCGACTCTTTCGCGTTAGATGCTCTGCTCGAGACTATCCGTGCCGACTGTGCACTAGGCCAGCCATCGGAACTTCTTGGAGCTACCGCTAGCAGCTTCTTGCTACGAAACGAGGATGTCGACGAAGCCCATTTCGTTGTCCGGAACAGTAGCACGCATGCCCTCTATGGGTTCTGCGCGACCTACTTCTTTCGATCAACGGGCACCGGTGTGCTTGCATGTCTCATCGTGGACCCCTCCCGAAGAAAACTATCAATCGGACATTCTCTTCACAGCCGCGCGATTCGGACTTTACTTCAACGGAACGGGATGAAACGCTTCCAGCTAGGATCCCGATTACCAGGGATCTACCTTGGCATTCCGACCGTCAACCCTGTTGAGCGCAAGCGGCTACGGCAATGGTTCGCGAACATGGGGTGGAACACCGGACTTGCGCGACCAGTGTGCAGCGCGATCCTCGGCAACCTGTCGACATGGGTGCCGCCCGAAGGACTTACTGCGACCCTGCAGAGTGCCGAGGTCACATACGACCTCGTGTATGGCTGGGACTTTGCGCCGGTGATCCTCGATCACATTAAAACATATGGGCGACAGGGTGTGGCCGATATCTACCGTATGGCTCTGAGTGGCGCGCCTAACTGCGGGATCATTCGGGCCAAGCGGCCCTCCGACGGGGTCATACTCGGGAGTATCGTGGTCTACAATGACCGATCTGCGTTGGCGGAACACATGCCTATGTTGCGCGCCACCCAGACTTCTGTCGGAGGCATTTCATCTCCGGTCATTTCTCCTTGTGGTGAGGATTACTCCACGGTGATGCAGGGCCTGGTCCTGCTGGCTATCAAACAGATCCGGAAGTTGAGTGCCAATGCCGTGGTTATGGACTGTGTATGTTCTTCGTTTCCTTTTTTTCTCCCCCTTCCCCTCCAATTATCCTCTAACAAGAAGATAGGTCGACGGTGACAGTAACTTTGACAATCTCTCCACGATGGGCTTCACTATGCTCCACAGCTTTGAAGAAGTGAACTGTGACGCAGCTACGTGGACGATGATGCATGCGTAGTCGAAGAGATCAGACTTGGTTCGATTTCCCTTTTCCTTTTCCTTTTCTCTTTCTACTCTTTTCGGTTCTGTTTTCCTCACGTCTATGATATCCATATCGCATTGGGTTTGGCATTTATTTCACCCTATTTTCTTTCTTTCTTTCTTTTTTTTTTTTTTTTTTTTTTCAGTTGGATCTAGTCCATTTTCTTTGTTTCACACGATCCCGTAACGGTTTCTTCCGAGGAGTTTCCTTTCATACATTTTTCGATTCATTTTGGACTTGGTCTGAGGTAGGAGGGAAAGTTTGTGTTGGCGTCATTTGGTCTGATCAAATAAATACTTCTATCACAGGGTTCCCACTGGCGATTAATACAGAGATATATATACTCGCATTATAGAAGAATGTACTCTGTAAATGTGGAATATTCTATATGTATGTACTTTGTTGGATTAATTTAAGGGAAAATATAATATTTCATTCTAATTAATCTTTGAGCTTTTAGAAGGTATCAAGGCATCATTCAAACTGAGATCTTACTGGACCGGAAGTCCGTTGGAGCTCGACCTTGGCTATAAACTAGTTAGATGTACTTTCCTCCGTATAACTAGTTAAGTTAACTATAACTAACTAACTAATGCACTTTCTAACTTCAGGGTTTTTATGGGAAATTGTGGGAATTGGGGGAATTGTGGGCTTAGAACGGAACTCCGCTTTGGCGCCGGGCACGAAGCCAAGCATCCACTTTTTTGGGGGTCAAAAAGAGAAAAGAAAAAAAAAAAAAAAAAAAAAAAAAAAAAAAAAAAAAAAGAAAACACAGGGTGTTATGAGTGTAGTATTTTATCTTCTTTTCTTTTTATAATGTGACATTAGAAGGAAATTAGTATATAAGGAATCAATTCTTCTCTCTTTATTCTATATATTCCATACTCTATATTCTATACGGAGTATTCTATATTCCATACTCTATATTCTATACGGAGTATTCTATATTCCATACAATAAATCAAACCAAACAGGTTTCTCGGGCCTCGGGGCCTAACTTTGACCCGGGCCAATGAGTTTTTTTGCGTTCAGAGTTTGAACCAATTTAATTTTCTGTTTGCGTTAAGAAAAATCCCTCAGTTGTACAAGCGGAGCTTCTTTTTTTTTCCTTTTTTTTTTTTTTTTTTATTGAAGCTGAACTGGTTTTCTAGATGTCTACATTCCTAATCTACGATTCCAGGAATGTTACAGAGATATTCCTCAGAATATAAGTGGTACATAACCCATATACATGTTCATCCTACCATGGATGAAGCTTTTCGGGATAGTCCCAAATCCCAAGGTTCGATTGACACCGTTGAAAGAGCTGCTAACCTTGAAACCTTGGGACATTCAACCTTGGGACATTCAACCTTGGAACAAGCCCATCGTCAACTGTGGATGGCTCCCGTGGTCAGAACCTTGGTATACATTTTGTAGGCTGCATCGGGAAACGCGCCGGAAGAAAAGAAAAAAAGGGCAAAAAAAAAAAAAAAAGAAAAAAGAGATGATTTCGGTAATAATCAAATCGGGTAAATGCACATCCTCTTCATTGATTCACATGCGAAAACGAGGAAGCTTCTCTCGCCACTCAATCTCCCAGTCTCTCTTACCGTCTGACATCCCCCTGGACCATCCTGTATCTCCTTCCATAATGGATTTTGTTTTATTGAAATCTAGAGAATTCCCAGAGTTATTTAAGACAGGTAAAAAAATAAAGAAGAGAAAAAAAGGGTGCATATGTATGGTTATAGATACTGCACTAAGAAAGGTATATGAAGTATGAAATCTGAACCTTGGAACTTTGAATGGAGTACGGATAGATCCACGGACATCGCCGGACCCGAGACCAAACAGCTCAACTGTTTAGGCTAACCGAGGCACTTTATCCAAATGCTCATAATATTACATGCATGGATAACATTGCAGATTGCAGATTGCAGATTGCAGATTATTATTACCGTTTTCGGTGGGGCGTTAAGCCAAAGTACAGGGTCCAGCAGAGTACCGGGGGGGAGCACCAGTTTCTGATTCTCAATGCGCAGTATATTCTGATTGGATGTTGGTTGACCCCTACAGCTGCAGGTCAGACGGTCGATGATGATCATCCTTGAGGCGAATGTGATCGCATTGTTGAGATGTAAAAAGAAGGGAATTATGTAGATAGGTATATTGTAGAAAGCAAAGCTTAGACAATTATCTATTCATTCAGACCTTATATAGTAGACATAAGAAAGTAATAACCTTTCGGTACTCATCCTATAACTATTAACTAACTAGTTACCTAGGTATTAATTATATTATTAATATGTGGCGTTCTCAGGGAGGGAGTCGACCCGAAGCAGTAGTACCTTAATAGGCAGGTGGGTATTCAATATTCTAGATTTACAACATACAGACTACTTGTATTAGTTAGAATGGCCATCCAACATACAAAAGAATGGAAGTAGTTGTACGTATATAATATCAACATCTGTTGATCTTCAGGGCCCAGTGAGAGAGATGATTGCCGAGAGCCGGCGATCAAGTCTTACCCCATCGGTGCTGAGGGATTTGCATATTTAATTGTTATTGGTACTCCTATACTCCGTACTACTCGGTACTAAAAAAAAATTGATATTAATATAAAAAAAGTCCATTAAATATGCAATATTTATTTATCTATATATTATATGAATGAATATACTATTATATGAATACTATATTGTATATATGAATAGATGAATTATCTATAAAATCTATAAAATCTATAAAATCTATAAAATCTATAAAATCTATAAAATCTATAAAATCTATAAAATCTATAAAATCTATAAAAATAAAATAAAAGCTGACTCAGCGCTGCGTTCGTTCTCCGCAAAAACCGCGGCTCCACTATTCCCCGAATCCGTTGATCGTTTGGGTGCAGAAGGTCGAGATTCCTCTCTCTCACACGCTCTGTCTCTCTCACACACACACACACTCTCTCTCTCCCCTCGGTGATTTGTTTCTTCTCTTTCTCTTTAGGTATACACACAACTTTAATACCTCTCAATATCCTTTATATCCACTATAATCCTGATATTTCCATTTCCGTCTCAAATGTCCTCTCCGCCTTCACTCCCGCCTTAGCCTATCTTTCCGCTTCGTTGCTTGCAGCATTCCCCAGGGTCTGGTCTACTCATCCTTGGGCTTCTCTTCGTCTGACCTCTTTACTCTTGCCCTTTTCATCTCCTCTTTCTCTCACTGTCTTTATATAAGAGGCAATTATATATATTCCTCCCCCGCATCGTCTACTGGTCTGCCTCCGTATCGCATAAGCTCTTACCATGGAGGGCTTCGATACTATGGCGATGCCGCCATATTTGGCTAGTCCCCTGTCACTGGGGAATTTGCAGAGTACCGACTATCTCAATGCCATGTCTGGTCTAGATCTACCGGATCACCGGTCCAACTTCGATTCCGAGACCTTTGTTAGGTGATTAGATGTCCAAGTGGGACGAGAGGGGGTGGATCATCCACTCCCGCTCGACTGTTGAAACCATTTTTGCTAATTTGATATACAATAGTGAGGATCTCGCTAACTTCGCGCCTCCTAATTTGTCACATCAACTGAGACGTTTCTCTTCCGCATACGAAGACCCTTTCACCGAGATGGTGGCGCCCTTCGACCCAACGCCCCAAGAACAACCCCAGGACTCGTCGATCGATCACAACAACAAGCTGTTAAGCTTTTCGCTACCAGTATATCACTTCACACTCCTCGACTATTCCATGCGCCGAACCTCCTTATCGGTGGCGGCACAGTTGCACGGGATGTTCTTTCTCGCCGAATCCCCCTATACAACATCCCCTTCGGAAAATGCCCCGCCACAACAAGGTGCCGAGTTGACGTGTTATCGTCGCAATCTGTTCCAAATTACCGGTTCAGTAACTTTGCCCCGCGGGATGCGCTATATCATGACCGACCAAGGCGACCGAATTCCCATCCTCGCACAGGAACTCACCGTATCAGCCACAGAATCCGTGGAAGGAAACCCCGTAAAGATTATCTCGGTGCCATGGAAGACCCCCTCGGCTGCGGCCGCTAATTCGGGCACGGCTCCCGAGGAGAACAACCCTAGTACGGGCGCTAAGATCGAGAAGGAGCCTCCCCCAATTCCCTTGGACATCATGGCGGGTCAGGATTTGGATTCAGACTACGCAACCTTCCCTATCGCCTGGAAGCGTCTACAATTTCGTGTCGCGACCGCCAACAATGGTCGCCGAAAGGAGCTACAGCAACACTTCGTCGTTCGCCTCAAGGTGGTCGCGACTTTATCCACCGGTGCAAAGATCCCTATCTCGGAGGTGCAGTCAGGTCCCGTCATCGTGCGTGGGCGCAGCCCACGCAACTTCCAGTCACGCAAAGATCTACCCCTTAGTGGGAGCGCTGCTGCTTCGCGCAAGAATGCCCAGGCCAACTCCTCGAATTCCGCTATGAACCGCACACCAACAAGCGACTCCGTCCCGCGTCGTGCCAGCGTGACTCCCGCCAAGGCGAAGCCAGCCGCCCAGAGCAGCTCTCCTGAAACAACGTCCGTTCCCCCGCCGAGCATTATGCAGCAGACTAAAGCAACCCCGGATTGGACCCCCATCCCACAGTCCGCATCAAACAATGTCATGTCTCATGCCCCCAAGTCCATGTTCCGTCATTCCAGCCCGGAGCAGCTCTCTCAAGCCGACTCACATCGTCGTATCGGTTCCACAACAGCGGCCGCTGCACCGATCAATTTGTCGTTACTAGACGAGGAAGAAGGCAGTGACCCTAATCTCCATCTTGACCAAAATATGGTGTCCCCTTTCGCTACCGAGTTGTCACATCAGCGATCGCTGAGTCTCGACCAATCTGCACCGCCTTCCAAAATGCGCAAGCTCTCTCACGCTGTCTCTCAAACCCCTTCGCGGAGCGTTGCTTCATCCATGCCGTTGCTAGAGACTGCCAACCTGCCCCAGTCATTCGCGTCATCGCTCCCCTTTCCGAACGAAAGCACTGATCTTCTCTACGAATACTTCCCCCTCGGAATGGATGACTGGCAAGCCCCTGTCGATGCCGTCTACCGACCACATGTGGTGCATCACACCAATATGCCGGAGATGAAATTTGTGGCCTCTAGAGGCCGGAGCAAGCGGTACTTTGCCGCAGAAGATGTGTTCTAAACTCCCCAGTACTGGGATGTTGAGTTAATGGCGCTGGGTGGAGTTAGTCTCTTCCTTCTCGCATCTGCATTGTCACACTGGGATGAGGTGTTTCTTGATTTTTTGGGGGTTGATACTGCTTTTCTAGATTTGGCTTTGTGTTTTATGGACAAACACAAAGTACGAAACATGGTTTGATTTCAAACTTGACACCTGATGTCGAATGTGTTACTGATATTGATGCTCAGTCCCGGGAGGGGGCATGGAGATGGGTTCAAGGATCTGATTTTTAATCTTTGAATTCGAATCGTGCAAGGCGAAAATGGCGAAAATGGCGAATGTGGGCGTGCTTGGGCGTTTTGGCTTGATTTACTTGGTTGATTTGTGTTTTTATATGTAGGAATTGGAATTGGAATTGGAATTGGATGGGGATGGTTGGATGGACTTGGATTAACCACGTTTGGGACTGGGATTGGAATTGGCACTGTCTGTTTTTCTTCTGTTTTTCTTCTGTTTTTGTCTCCTGATTGGATGTGGTTTAGTGGTTTTAGTTATATCCCATTGTGTTTTGATATCACGCTATTTACTTGTGATGGGGCTGTTCTCGTGGCCATGCCATATATATTGAAATTCCATCTTGGGCTGCCTGCCCACTTCTCTTTTATCTTCCCGAGACATAATAGTAGAATCAAATTGCAAAGGGTAAGCCTACTCAGTGAGTCGCTTTTTTTTTTTTATCATTTCCTTAAAATGCACCGAAAAAGCGTTTCCGGTATCATAGATATCCGAGTCCATCACCGCCAATAGTCTCCAGATCAGCCTTGATCTCCCACTCCGTCGCGCCAACCCGGCCTGCAATCTCAGCTTGCCGCTGCTTGCCCATATTCAGCCATAAACGCAATAGATTGCCATCGACCATACCACGACCAGCAGCCCCGTCGCTTTCGATAGCCCGGAAAGCACGCGCATTCAGACCGGCAGGATGGTCGACGGTGTTGATCAACTGAGACTGTAGTGCTGATAGTCGACGGTATGACTCCTCAGCAACCGACGTCACAAGCGCCAAAGATCCATTTTGCGAAGCAATGAGAACCTGGTGTTTGGCGAAGGTCTCATCCACGTCCATTGCTTCTTCGGATGACTCGGGGAACTCCGATGAAACTGCTGTGCGAGGCAGCAGAGTGACTGATGATGCGAAGTTGCCGGTGTAGAATTTGCTTCGGCTGAGGAGTCGATCGCCGTTGGAGGATTTGGGGTCTTCCGGGTCGTATTGCAGGACGTGCAGGTTGCAGTCGCTGTCAGCGACTAGCATGTACAGCTTGTTCCCGTCCGGGAGGAAGTCGGCTGCCACCACCTCCAGGTACTCGGGGTCTTTGCCGAAGAGTGTCATTCTATATGGCTCCTCTGAGTAGCCGGCGAACCAGAGTCCCTTCACGGCATCTCCTAGGATAACCATGCCGGTGCCCTTGAGCTCTTTGGCGACATTGACGTAGCATTGCATGTCCATAAATGCAACGGGAAGAAGGCTCCCATCTTCCTTGAGACCTCGGACCATGCACTTCTGTCCCTGGGCTACGATGATGAACCCTTGGCCACCGATGCCAGACAGCGCGGTCACTGCACCCTTCACTGACTCCTTGCCAATCAGTTTGAGTTTGCGGCCTGTCTCCGGCTTTTCGGGATCTGGGGCCACTTTGATCACATCAAAGACATAGATCGTCCCGCGAGCTGGCATATCTTCCCCCTTAGCGATGGCGGTTCCGACCACGATTAGATCCCTCCGCTCGTGTGTATTCTCCGAAACCTCAATGTTCACGTTCTTAACCGCTGTCACCTGCTCATCGGGATCCAGAGGGTAACTATAAATATTAGTATTTGGAATTGTCATGTCTTGAGTTTGTTGGTCAGGTTGGGGAGGGGGTTTTACCTGTCAACAATGGTCCATGTCTTTGGACTGACGACCTTGATGCTGCTTTCGGGGATTTTCGGACAAAAGGATAGCTCTTGAGATTAAATTAGCACAGCATGATGGGAAAACGCTTGAAGCAATCACGAACCTTCATTCCGCCACTCAGGGTGCAGATCATCACCCTCCGGCAACTTGAAGTCACCTTGGTGGCTTGTGCCGAGAACATACGTCTCAGAAGATGTCGAGTAGGCCAAGAAATCGACTTGCTCTTCAATTGGAACTTTACGCAATGTCCACGAATGGTCAAATTGAGTTTGAGAAGGTAGTTGACAAGCCCGGATACAGCTCTACAAAGACAGAATTAGTAAATGGAGATAGCACCACAACGGTGAACGGAAAGTCTCACCTGAGAATCAACGTAAATGAACCCATTTTCACAGCCAGTGTCGGTCGAATCAAAGGAACTTAGCCAACGTGTAAAGCCCCTCTAAGACGAATGATGTGCGGTGAGCTCTTTGCAGTTTTAAATACAAAGCTTGATGAGGCTCCCGGCATAAAGATGGTGCTCAACCCTGAGACATTAGGAAGAACCCTCAGGGGTCTCAATCGCTGTTGTTTCTGTATTTGAGAGGATACCCCCCTGAAGGGCTTTTCGGTAGAACATGATTTGACTCTCGGAATAATTGCAAGCGACGAGACGATCCATGATCAGCATTTGCCGGGACTAGGCTTGGTTTGTAGAACACTAGATCGTCATTTTCGGTTCGAACCTGGAATGCTCGAGTTAGAGATCAGAAAAGCCATTAACAAAAGGTTTCTTACAATCAGATAAGGAGAAAGGCCAGAACTATCACCAAGATTGGCAACGACAAATTCTGTCAGTGTCTCCCGGTTATTAGATCGTTTGGGCAGCTCGGTCGACAATACGGGTGGCAAGCAGTCGACACCTTCAATGATCGCGATCAACTTCATGTCAGAAAGTCGGAAGATCTGTAATCTAAGTCAGAACCAATGCCTAAATCTTCCTTTTTTTTATTTTTTTTCTTTGGCGACCACCTACCGATAGCTTATACTCCAAGTTCAATAGGAATAGAAGCACCTCGCCTTCTGAAGTGTCCTTCGACGATGAGCCTGCAACGCTGAATGACTGTGAATTATCGTGATAAAGGCACCCGGAGCGCCATTGTGACGAGCTGATCTCATTTGAAAGTGGAACTTCATCGAGGTCACCACTTTCATCCGCCTGCAGAAGCAATACTGATGAATCATCCCGAATAATCACAAGATAAGGATCAATAAAGCTGGCGCTCACAGCCACGCGCTCATCACTGGTGTCTTCATCCCAAACAGGGTAAATCTGTGACAATCCCAGGTCTGTAGAGTTTCACCATTAGCTTATGCAATGCTTGCAAGCAGGCTGGAGTAGAATGTACCTATGTCGTAACTTCTGACTTCATTCCGCAGAACCTGAACTAGACGAGTCTCGCCTGCCAAAGATCCAATATCAACCGTGCAATCTTCATTTGGGTTGAACTCTGGTGCTTTGAAGGGGTTTAGGCTTTGTTCTTCCACGACGCAGACCTCGTTCACTTCCTGCTCCGAATCCGTAGACCGAGAGATAACCACATATTGACGAGAGGGGTTGTCTGTGCTGGAAGCTCCTCTCCTTTTTTGACTCTGACTGGCCAAACACCATCCGCGTCATCGACTTCCAGAGACATAGTAGTCAAAGGATCAATTTCGCGCTTGATGACTACCAAGCCACCGCCTCTGCCTGAGCCCTGAGATGCCACCAACTCCAGTTCTATCGCACCAGTTTCACTTGTAGCTTGGCTTATGCGATTCGTATCCGAAGCTTTGCCCAAAGTGATGTCCCTCAATGGACCAATGCTAGGAAGTTGATCGTTCAGTCGAAAGTGATAAAATTCGGGGGTTGAGTTGTCGGTTCCCATGCGATTATCGACTTGTGTCGGCCCAGGCGCCGAGGAATAAAGGTCATCATCCTCCATCTGGTCATCATCATCTGACAGACCATCCAGACCATCCAGACCATCCGCTGTTTGTTTAGACTCAAGCCGAGCTTTTTTAGTAGAGGCGGATGAATGCGACCATTCTAGGAGCACCGAGTCGGCATCCTCGCTGCCGATGAAGACGTTTCCATCTCCGAGACAAGTGGAGCAGGAGGCGGCCGACTTCAAAATATCTCCACCTGCATGCGCCGGAAGGGAGTGAACAGTGATACCGGAGACAGACCGACCATCAAGTTTGAATTTGATCAATGCCATGTCGCCGGATGCAAGCGCTAGGAGTAGGTCGCCGCTATCACCACCAAGTCGTTCAACCACGCAGCCTTCGAGGCGGAACGCCAAGTCCGATTGGTCGGTCATTGAAAATGAAGAAACCTGCCTTGAAAACTCATTAACTCCCACGGCATTGGTTTTACCGGCTTGGTCCACATGAACAATTTCATTGGAACCAAGAAGCAAGGCACCTCCTACTGGAAGTGGGAGTGCCACAACTTTGAACAGATCACTAGGAAGACGAGATACCGAAAGGAGGGTGGTAGAAGCTCGCTGCTCAAGATCCAGTGTAAACACGGCGTAGAATACGACGTCCTTTCTTTCATGGAGAAGGGCAGTAGAGGTTGCGACTTGAGAATATAAAATTCCAAACGTCGGCTCTCTGTATTCGTATAAGAACGCAAGACTTATGGGGTGTAGCAATGAAGGATCCAAGGCAGTCAATGGCAGGACGAAAGACGAGGAGTAGGGTGTTTGGTGTATTGGTCCTTCTTTGCTATTCTCAATCTGTGCTCCTCCACCAGAGTTCTGATTTGGGCGTTCTCCATCAAGCTCCGAATCGTAGTCATCCATCACCAAGTCATCACCTGCCTGATGAAAGGGCAAAATCGCAAGGTTGCGAATTCCAAAGTTGTAAACCGCGCATCTACTGCTTGGGTCAACACTCAGAATGCTCCCACACCGGCTCAGGTCAGGCACCCAGGGGCTGCGGGTCAGGTCATCCCGCTCGTAGTAATGGATGGAAATTGTTGAGATTCCATGACGCTCAGGGTCCCACTCAATCAAGCTGAGCTTGGCATTGCGGACTGCAATCAAGATGGCTTCTCCACCACTCTTGGTGTTCAAGATTTTGACTCGGCTTAAATCAGTCACGGTTCCGGATAGCGGGTATTCCTTTTCCAGTACTAATTTCGTTTTTGGTTGAGAAAATTGCAAAGAATGGGGCTCTGAACCTTCCTTCTGTGGTTGAGAGGAGACCACCCTAATGAGAGAGAAAACTTGCAATAGAGAGGTTCTGATAACAATCAAATTGCTGGCAGTGGCTGAGGTGAAAGGAACTGCCAAAGCATGTGTGACCCCCGTGGGGGGTAATAACTCTGTGTAGCACTGCATTTGGAGGATATTTTCCCACTGTCAAAGCTCACAAAAGGCTTGATACTGCTAGGAAACCGCCAATGAGCTAAATTGTGTTTTTGATATGGTCTGAGATGCACATTGCAATTGTAAACCTAGGGGCAGAAAACCGAGAATGTGAAGCTGTCCAAGTATCAAGAATAATGGCACAAAGAAAGGGTTCAAAATAGACAAGAGAAGTGATCAAGATCAAAATATCAAAATCAAGATTGATCTCTCTCTGCCTTGTGCAGTCAAGTTTGTAGCTCCTTTGAAGCGGAATCAAAGCGGAGATAGGAAAGGGTCAGCTGACTGGTCTGGCAGAATTGAGCGGCCAATATATTCTGCCTGATAAAATCCTACCGCCCTTTGCTGCATATGGCTCAAAATGGTTTAGCGTCAAACAATCAATGACGACATAGGCAGATTGCCAGCTTTGGGGAGATCATTTTTCTTGTTTGGATGTTATTGTAAGTCTCATTCCTGGCATCATTACTTCAGTATCTTACTAGGAGTATTGATGCAGGTCCCACAACCAATGTGCACAGTGTGAATTGCTATTCTTCAATATGGCACTCCTTCAGACTTCCCTCATCTGGGCTGTGTATGGGGTGGTGGTAGCTATTCTACTGGCAGTGGCGTCGGTGTTTATCTATGTCTACCAAACTCCTCGCGATCGCTCTCCTTCAGTCACTCTGACTTGCATCACCTCAATTACTAGTCTTCTTGCAACGGTGCTCTTGCTACCTGTCGATGTCGCTTTGGTATCCTCCACTACGTCGTCCAAGTTAGGCCAGCGAAAGGACTGGGCAACACAGGATGTGGTGGACAGAATCACTTATTCCTTGACCATTACCTATTATCTTCTGTACTCCTTGGATGCCCTGCTCTGTCTTCTCGTTATCCCCTTTACATATTTCTGGTATGAGGAATATGATGAGGTTGCGACCGAGGAAGGAGTCCAAACTTTGGGCCAACGGATTTGGGGTGCCCTAAAATACACACTTTCATTCGTTGCAGTCATTGTGATCTTGTTCCTAGTTGGGTTCTTCATTCCAGTGTCACAGGGAAAGAATGACATGGATCTGGATTACTTTAGGCGCTTGCTGACTGAAAACCGTGAGTATTTGAGTATTCTGATGTTGAACCGGACCGTGAAGCTAATGCAATTATGAAAAGATGGCGAGCGTGCTCTCACTTTCGCTCTTGGTCTGTTGATGACGATTGGTCTTTGCCTTTATGTCTTATACACATCCGTGGGACTAGCCCTTCTGCCAATCAGCCTGATCAAAACTGCACCATCAATCTCTAGTGCTAACTTGCGAGCGAGCACTACGCAACAACTTGACATGAACCAAGAGCGGCAACGGCAACTCGAGGGACGATGTGCCGGAGATCCCGGGCTTCTGTCCTCCAAGGACCGCCGAGAACTTGATACACTGGTGCGGGAAGAGAGGACCCTCATCCGGCGCCAACGTCTAGCGGAAGAATCCCAAGGCGGAGGCCGTAGCTGGTTGATAAGGGCATGGTACAAAATTGGGGCAGTGTTCCGGCCCTTCAAGCTCCTTGGGGGGATCTTGCTGCTATTCATTGCTTTCCTCACATGGGTATCCATGCTCTTGACGGCAATTGACAAAGCAAAGAATTCGATTTGCAAGCATCGTTGTGGATATATCCTCGCATATGTCAACATCTTTAACCCCGTCAACTGGGCACTTGTTAAATCTGCCAGGTTCTTCCCCATTGATTACGCTATATTCACCGCACTTGTATTGCTATTCTTCTGCAGTTCTGTGGTTGGAATCGCAGTGGTTGGAATCCGCTTCCTATGGATTAGGATTTTCCAAATCAGAAGCGGCCACACATCTCCCCAGGCTCTACTCTTAGCCACCGTCATGTTGATGCTGATCATTTTAGCCTTGAATTATTCCATTTCGATGGTAGTCGCCCCCCAGTATGCCACATTCGGCCCACAGACATTCTGTGATCGCGCTCCGGGAAGTTTCATCGGAAAGCCAGATTGCTCAAACAGCAAAGAACTTATCAAGCCATGCTCAGAGTTGGCGGAGAATCCTGCAGCACAGCAAGTTTGTACACCCAGTGTCGTGAGCACATTTTTGAACCGGATCACCCTGAACTACCCATTCTTTGGAGTGGTGTTCTTCTGGGCTCAGTTCTTCTTCCTAGGTAAGTCTAAACGTCGCTGCGTTCCTACCAGGATTCCATTTTCGTATTAATCCAACACCAACACCACAGGCTTATATCTGATTGTCTTTGTCACCTCCCTTCTCCGTTCACCACAATTGGACGAAGCGCAACTCGATGAAGATGCAGAGGAAGCCGAGGAGGAAAGCTTATTGGCCAATACCGGTAGACGCTTCAATGCCAGCTGGCAAGACATCACAGGCAGAGCTGCCCGGGGTGAACGCTCTCGGGGCTAATCGTCGAGGTCTTGCAAATGTTGATGGCTACCTAGGTAGAGCTCAGAGCCCCATAGTCACCGAGACTAGCAAAGAAATGAACTTGTAATTCTGTTGCCTGCAATCATGGTTGGTTATGTTCCTAATAGTTCCATTTGAATGACTCCCAAGGGTTTCAACCGTATTTTTCTTTACTTGTAGTACATTTTCGGGGGTTTTTATTGATTTTTCCTCTAAGCCATCATATAAGGGAGGAAATACATGATGGATGGCTTCCTGCATGCTAATTCAATTCCCGCTTGGAAGGTCGACTCTCATATAGAAAGGACTGGGTAACATAAACTCATAATTCATAAATGTCGTGTTGATCATGTGCTTAAACCTTCATTTGATCGTTCAACAAGGCGAGAGCATTTTGGAAAGCCTTCACCACCTCCGCATCTTCAGATAGATGAGCGATCAGGCCTTGTTTCCAAGTCAAAGGGACAAAAAGGGACTTACAATGCCTCTTTTTGTTTTCCACACTGACTTCGGAATTTTGAACGTGCTGCATTTGGGTCTTGAACCTGTAGAGGATTGATTATTCGTTCATTCACATCTTAGGGCCAAAGCTAGATTGATCGAACCTTTTCAAAGCCCTGTTCTCATCTTGCGAAACGGTGGTTTGCGACCATGCCATGAAAACCTACCGGGTGCTCAGACATGAAATTGCAAGTATGATGTGGTTCTAAAACTTACTTCAAGAAGCTTGGCTGTTTCACCACGAAGATTCTCTTCGACTCGGCCGTGTTCCTCCATCGCATCGGCATATTTGCCCTGCAGCTGTTCCCAGTTGCAGCCTTCAAGACCTTGTGTCAATCTAGAGACAAGTGGAACCTCATCATTGATAGGTGTAGATGTAAGAGCTTCAACTGGTGATTGTGGGCTTTTGTTCTCTTGGAAGCTCCCACTGCCTGGAGGGCTTTTGCTTCCTTGACTGACACGGGGTGACATTGCCCCCGGTCGAGGGATTTTGCTGGCCTTGTTTGGTGTTGACTGCATACTGGATTAGCTGACTTGGTATAAATATCAAAACCAATGATTGTTTCAGTAGAATTCGGACTCACTGGTTCGTCGATGTTATCCAAAATGAGCGATAAGATTGCGATAACGGAGTGTCAGGTGACGTTGACAAGTACATGTGCACATCCCGTCTTCTCTTCTCTTCCTTCCTCTGAAGAAAGATTGGCTAAAGGTGATGTCTTGAGGCCGGTCATATCCTTTAAATCAACATATTATTTGAGTCATGTGGGATTTGCATCTCTTTGATGAGCCCTTCTCACTCCTCTATATGGTTCTCGGCGACTCAAGTAGCTCCTATAATTATCCTGGAACGCAACATGAAAATGCCCCTTACGCTCTCAAAGAACAGCTGAAAATTAAATCGAACTGTCTGCGATGAGCTGTTCTATATGCTCACGTGCCCCTCATTCCCGCCTTTCTTTCCACTGTCCGACATGTGCCCGCAATCAGCTATATCAACTACGAATCGACAGCACGCAAGTTCTTCTGGAGAAAGAAGTCCTTGGGAAACAAATCGAGACCGCTGTTACTTGTGGTAGCTCCTGGGATAATCCTTCCCCGCATGGACAAGAGCCGCTCGATACGGACAAAGCTTGCTCTCCCCGCTGGGTCCTCCAAACGATAAGCACTCGACATGCAGTGTCTTTGGCAAAGAGAGAATTGGTTTCTCATCAGCTCGAGGCTTTGAAATTAGAGGTCAAAGCCAAAAAGACCGAGATTGCCAAGCGAAAGGAGGCCCTAGCACGCAGACGGTCAGATGCTGAATCTGCCAAATTTCAACTAGAAGAGCGAGAAACTGGGATCCTGGCTGGCGTTCAAAATACCAGCAAACGGGTGGAACACGTTTGGCATTCCCTCCATAGCAAAACGGCGGAGTCACGTATTTATCTTTGTCGAGAAGTCGCTAATCTATATGGCCTACGGAAGGCTACGAAGAAGGGCCAGGGTCGGGAGACATATGTGCTTGGATGTGGTTTTATCGTTGACTTGAGGGATATGAATGGCAAGTTTACACGATCACTTCCAAGCAGTTATTCATCTCGTGGCATACTAACAGGGCGGGTACAGGTATCCCACATGAACAGATATCCACGTCCTTTTCTAACATCGCTCATCTTTTGATCATCGTCTCGCACTATCTTTCCTTGAGACTTCCCGCCGAGATTACGCTGCCTCATAAAAACTATCCCGTGCCTACGATCTACAACCCCTCAGCATCATATCGCTCGCGCAACGGTCACGATGGAGCTGATTACCAGGCGGCATCGAGTCCAGCTGCATCAAGGACGGTGGACCCGCATACCCACACACCACACCCACGGCCTCTCTTCATTGATAAGCCACTGCCCCGGTTGGCGAAGGAGGATCCCGCAACATATGCCTTCTTCCTCGAAGGAGCTACCCTCTTAGCATGGAATGTTGCATGGTTATGTCGAACCCAAGGGATAAACCTCTCATCGGACTCTTGGGATGAAGTCTGCGATATCGGGAAGAGCTTGTGGCAACTGCTAGTTGCTCCGCCAGCCCATCCTTCAACTCTGATGCGAGCCTTTGCCGGTCGAGACACGCAAACACAAATGAAATCTGCCAAAGACTCTCCCAAAACGACGATTCAGCGGACAACCTCATTCCCCATGTTAGGTCACTATTCTCATGGTACGGCGCATTCTTTCCTGGGAGCCTCGGAAGGAGTTGAATTCATGCGAATGTGGAAACTCCCTACCCCAACCAAGATTGTGGATAGATTGAAGTCCAATCTTCTAGGCGAAATGGCCAGTGCGGAATGGGAATTGCTAGAAGAAAAAGAATGGGATGATGCAGCCATGGAGTCCCCTCAGCCATCTGTTTCGCAAAACCCCAAGGTGGTTGTCCCAGGCTCTCAATCTGGATCGGTGGAAACAGACAGCAGAACTTCAAAAACACGTTCTGGGAAGACTCCAGGCCATGAGAGTGCCTCTTCCCCACGACCCAAAGGTACCAAAGGATGGACTAAGGTAGCAGATAGAGGTCATGGATCAGTGTAATATTTATTCCGTCTATGACATCTCCCCGAGGTCACTTCAATAAATCACAAGACTCGCATTGCCCACGTGGGAACCCTTTGAAGGTCTTCAGTATGACTAAGCGAAGGGAGAGGTCCCGAGTCAAGACTCACTTTATCGCGTTGTTCAAGCAAACCACCCTGCTCTAGCATTTGTTCTTTTCTTTTCTTTCTTTTTTTTCTTGGTTATGATTTTGTTTTTTAAGAGAATACTTATATTTGTGATATTAGCTTCCTAGCTGATATATCTTTGTCTTAACTCAATTGCGTGACTCTCCGTTCCCGTTCCCCGGCCTACAAACATTCATTCCCCTCTCCAACTGGGGATGTAGTTACAGCTCAACAGGTTTGAGACGATACCAAAAATGCAGAATGCCCAAGACTGGCAGACTGCAAATCATTTACCCTCAGGTTAGCAATCTCTACGAATTGGTCGTGGGCTGTTTCTAATTATCTTGCGAGCAGACTTGAAGCGTGCCCTCTCCACAATTTCAGAAATCCCCGATGCTCTCTTGCGAGCAGAACTTTTTCGGCGCGATGGAGCTTCAGATGACACGCCGGCATGCGGATCCAAACAGCGGGGGGGCCTATAACACTCCGTTGCATGTTATGGCACTGTTTCTCATCCTTGGGCTGAGTACATTCGGTATGCACTAGCTTCTCTCGTATCTCTCAAGTTGGCCATTGCTAATATTAAAACTACAATAGCTTGCTCCTTTCCGGTTCTAGCGCGCCGTTTCCCTCGTCTTCCGATCCCCCGTCGGTTCCTCTTTATATCGAGACATTTTGGAACGGGTGTATTGATTGCGACGGCATTCGTCCATCTGCTCCCCACGGCATTTGTTTCTCTGACTGATCCATGTCTCCCTCGATTTTGGAGTCAAACATATCGTGCTATGCCAGGGTTTGTTGCAATGATATCGGTCTTTGCAGTCGTTATTGTGGAAATGTTCTTCGCGATGAAAGGCGCAAAGCATGTGCATGGAAGCGAATATGATAATCTTATCGGCGAGGTTGGGCATGACTCAAACAGTGATGGGGGAAATCCAGATCTCGATTACTCGAGGCTAGAGGCCCGGCAGGTTTCAGATAATATCAGTCTAGATTGCATGGGGCACAACTCCAAGTTGCGAACGACAAGAGCTTCTGGTTCGTCCCATGAATCGGACCGTCTTCACCTGGTGGACTCATCACCGGATAAAGTGGACGATAGGAATGACCTTGATGGGCTAGATGACTACATGGATGACGACGGGCTCATCAGTGGACAAGCAGCCCATTCTGGGCAGTCACAGTCTGTCCACCGACCTCGACCCCGTGTGAGCGAACGGCACCGACAGCAGACCGACACAGAAGGGCCAATCCATAATCCACAACGTCAGCTTCTGCAATGCCTCCTCTTAGAAGCTGGAATTTTGTTTCACAGCATCTTCATCGGCATGGCGCTTAGTGTTGCGACTGGCACCTCCTTTGTCGTCCTATTAATTGCAATCAGTTTTCATCAGACCTTTGAAGGTTTCGCCCTGGGGTCTCGGATCGCATCGCTCATCCCGGATCTCTTTGCACCGAATTCCATAAAACCATGGCTTATGTCACTGGCATACGGAACGACAACCCCCTTTGGTCAAGCTATTGGTTTGGTTCTACACAATTTCTATGATCCTGCCAGCGCAACAGGTCTGCTGATGGTTGGCATCACCAATGCCATTAGCAGTGGTCTTTTGCTCTTCGCAGGTTTGGTGGAACTCCTTGCCGAGGACTTCTTGAGTGAGTCGAGTTATGAAACCCTCAAAGGCAGACGACGTGTTGAGGCTTGTGTGTCAGTTGCCTGCGGTGCTCTCCTCATGGCATTCGTCGGAGCCTTTGCTTGAAAGCATCAATTATTGGAAATTATCGATTATAATGTCTGATAGGTTTAACGAAGCGAGCGATCTTTCCATTTATCTAAATGTGTACCAAAATACCAAATTAATAATACTCGACTCACTAAAAGTCGACAATAGATGTATACGGGGTACTAATATTGCAACCGTAGTCCACAAGTGGTGGGAGGTTCAATGTATCCTCCTTGCCCGACACAACCAAAGATTTCTTGAAGGATCAGTCTCGCTAAGAGACTAATTGCGATGGCAAGCCTTCCAATGAAAGCGGTGCGTGAATATCGCCATTAAATGTCTTGCTCGAGTCCTGCCCTCCATGAGTTCGGGGCCTAGAGGGTTGTATAAGTTGGAACACCAGAAGAGAGGCCCATCTCTTACAGCATCCCCGATATCATTCGTTCATATTCCTCTCCCTGCAAACGATTCTAGAGGGTCTTGGCTGTCTCAATGTTTTTCGGTTCTAGTTATCATGGCTGAGGTCCTAGATCGTATGGAGATGTGGACAATATTAGGCTATCGAGGTTATAACCCCAGGGCTTCTCACCTGGGCAGAGTGACTACTATATATAAGTGTATTAAGTATTCCTGAACCACTCTATCGAAATACAACGATGCCGTCCTTCCCGTAACCAGTGAGCCCAAATAGAGATGGCAATAGAAGACGACGAAAGTGCCTTCGCGTTGAAATTCTGGAAGACAGACCCTCAGAGTTGACTAGGTCTTCATCTGAGACCGAACACGAAGCAACAAGTGGAAAGCAGGATATAAACACACAAGGATATCTCATTAACTATTCTAGATACCGAGAAAATGGTACTGATACTGCGAATGTTCGTTCGCTGCAGGATGGGGTATGTCTGCAGAAAAACCACCGAGTATCTTCCCCGTCAAAAATGAACTTGGTATTTCACATGCAAAGATCGAAGGTCGTTTCACATCTCCGTTTTTTTTTTTTTTTTTTTTTGTTAACAGATTTACTCTTTAAATGGACTCAATCACCAGGGCGCTGGCACCGCCACCACCGTTACAGATGCCGACGCAGCCAAGCTTACCACCCTTAGCGCTTAAGACACCGAGGAGGGTAGACACAATACGGGCACCACTGGCACCGAGAGGGTGTCCAATGGCGACTGCACCACCGTGGATGTTGACCTTGTCCTCGGAGAGACCGAGGAGCTTCAGATTGGCAAGAGCGACAACACTGAAGGCCTCGTTAATCTCAAAGGCATCGATGGAGTCCTGGGTCACACCGGCGTGCTTGAGGGCCTTGGGGATAGCCAAAGCAGGAGCAGTAGTGAACTTGCTGGGCTTCTGCGCAGCATCACCCCAACCTAGGATCTTGGCAATAGGCTTGAGGCCAAGCTCCTTCACTTTAGCCTCGGAAACCAAGACAACGGCGGCGGAACCGTCGTTCAAGGGCGAAGAGTTGGGGGCGGTCACAGTTCCAGTACCGGGGATGAAGGCGGGCTTCATGGCGCGGAGCTTCTCGGGGTTGAGCTACAAGCGAGGAATAATCAGTCAAAGTCACAATAACCTAATGCAGAAAATAAGCGGTACTCACGTTCTTAGGCTCATCATCTTGGGAAACAGTCACACCAGGCTTGCCACGGAAACCGGGGATCTCAATAGGGGCAATCTCGTAGTCGAAAGCACCGGCCTTCTGGGCAGCCTGTGCCTTCTCATAGCTGCGGATAGCATAGTCATCCTGCTGGGCACGGTTGAAACCGTGGTCCTCGGCGCACTCCTCGGCCGCAACACCCATAAGGTCCTGCTTGCCGTAGGCATCAGTCAACCCATCCTTCTGGATACCATCAACCAGGGTCTGGCTGCCAAACTTGGTACCGCTGCGAGAGGTTTGCAGGTAGTGAGGGGTGTTCGACATGGACTCAGCTCCACCAGCGACAACAATATCGGCATTTCCGGTCATGATAGTCTGGGCACCGAGAATGATGGCCTTCAGGCCAGAAGCGCAGACCTTGTTGACAGTGGTGCAGATGGTAGAATCGCTAAGACCAGCACCGATGGCGCACTGTCTGGCGGGGTTCTGTCCAACACTATAAATGAAAATATCAGTCTCAATTGTGGTATAAGATGTAACAAAGACAACTTACCCAGCAGATAAGACATTACCGAAGAAGACCTCTTCGACATCAGAGGCATTGATGCCCTCAGCCCGTTCAACAGCAGCTACAAATTATCATTAGCATTGAAGATGGGTGTGATATAGTTTGGGTGATAGATATTTCGTACCCTTGATGGCATGTGCACCAAGCTGGGGAGCAGTCAAGCTGGAGAGGGAGCTATAATAACCAAATGTCAGATTAGCCTTCAGGGGGGGAGGGAAAGGAAGAAGAATATAGGAATGCTCACCCCAGGAAAGATCCCACGGGAGTACGGGCAGTAGAAACAATGTAGACGGGAGGAAGAGAAGACATGGTTTGAAAATAGTGGATGGAATACAAAGAATATATAGAGAGATAGGGTAGAGAAGTAAAGAAATCCAAGAGATCCAAGAGATCAAAGTAGGGGAGGGGCAATCTATAAGAAGTAAATTGTTATGTGGGGAGTGAGGAGCTGTACGGTGTAGGCACGAGTACTCCGAAAAAAGACGCTTGGACCAAGTGAAAGTTGAGATCCTCAACTTCTCCGACATCACGCGTTTAGAGCTACAGTACCCTCTCTCTCTCTTTTTTTTTTTTGTTTTTCACCACACATTCATGTTCTCTGTAATTCATTATGGATGATCTCTATGATGAGTATGCTGTTTTTGTTTTCCTCTTCTAACCCATGACCTTGCTAATTGTGCCTAGGTTTGGTAATTACATTGGTGATGCGGAATCCGATGAGGAGCATCATGAAGATGTCCAACCTCAAGCTTTCAAGTTCGATGAGGCTTTCGATGATGAAGAAGAAGAGGAAGTTAATGATCAACAATTGATGGAAGTCGATGGTATGTCGACATGTCTTATTCGCAGTCTACAATCTGGCTAATCTCGTGTCTTCTTCCACAGAGGGTCCTTCGAATGCGGTCATATTGCACGAAGACAAGCAATACTACCCTAGCGCACAACAAATCTATGGCGAGGATGTCGAAACCATGGTCCAGGAGGAAGATGCTCAGCCATTATCAGAGCCCATCATTGCTCCCGTCCAGCAGAAGAAATTTGCGATTTCAGAGACCGAACTTCCACCCGTAAACTTCTCTCGGGAGTTCATGTCCGATCTGCTGAACTTCCCATCACAGATAAGGAACATTGCAATCGTTGGTCACCTGCACCATGGAAAGACTGCTTTTATGGATATGTTGGTCAAACAGACGCATGACCTAACAGAGCGACTGGAGAAGCGCACAGGGCGGAAGAGAGAAGAACAACTTCGATACACTGATGTTCATTTCCTAGAGAGAGAGCGCGGTCTCTCAATCAAGTCGGCACCGATGAGTCTCGTTCTCCCAGGCACCAAAGGCAAATCGCACCTGCTCAACCTCCTTGATACCCCCGGGCATGTGAATTTTGTCGATGAGGTGGCTGCCTCTATCCGCCTAGCTGATGGTGTGGTCCTGGTTGTCGATGTTGTTGAAGGTGTTCAGGCCAACACCGAGCAAATTATCAAGCATGCAGTACTGGAAGATCTCCCCTTGACCTTGGTCGTCAACAAGATGGATCGCCTCATTCTCGAGCTCAAACTTCCTCCTAATGATGCCTATTTCAAGTTGAAGCATGTGATCGAAGAGGTCAATACGATTATCGAGAACATTTTGCCTGGGCAAGGCGAACGACGACGACTGAGCCCCGAGAAGGGCAATGTTGGATTCGCCTCAAGCTCGATGAACTGGTGTTTCACATTGCAGTCATTTGCCCGAATGTACGCAGACAACTACCCGAGTTTGGACTCGACCGAATTTGCCACGCGACTTTGGGGTGACATCTTCTACAATCCGCAGAGCCGAAAGTTCACTCGCAAAGGAGTGGAGGAGAACGCCAAGCGGTCATTCGTCAAGTTTGTCTTGGAGCCGATCTACAAGCTCTACTCTCACACACTAAGCGAAAGTCCCGAGGATTTGAAACAGACTCTGGCTAGCGTCGGCGTCAATTTGAAGCCATCTCAGCTCAAGACCGATGCTAAGGAGTTGCTCAGTCTAGTTTGCGAGAAATTCTTTGGACCAGCCACTGGCTTTGTGGACATGGTTGTTCAGCACGTTCCTTCCCCAGTGGAAGGTGCCCAGAGAATCTTGGAGCGATACTACACTGGGCCTGTGGATACTAAGGTTGGGGCCTCAATGGTCGCTTGTGATCAAGACGGGCCTCTGGTTATCCATGTCACCAAACTCTTCAGCAGTACCGACGCCGGAAGCTTCTACTCCTTTGGAAGAATTATGAGTGGCACAGCGCGGCCTGGTCAGCAGGTCCGTGTTCTCGGCGATGGCTACACGCCAGAAGATGAGGAAGACATGGTGGTAGCAACCATCTCCGACACGTGGATTGCGGAAACGCGTTACAACATCCCGACCAACGGTGTCCCCGCCGGAAACTGGGTTCTTTTGGGTGGCGTCGACAACTCCATTGCCAAGACTGCGACGTTGATGCCTCTGAAGCTCGAAGATGACGAGGAAGCGTATATCTTCCGCCCGATTCGGCACATGACTGAATCGGTGTTTAAAGTTGCCGTTGAGCCGGTCAATCCATCAGAACTCCCCAAGATGTTGGATGGATTGCGGAAAATCAACAAGAGCTATCCCCTCATCTCCACCAAGGTTGAGGAGTCTGGCGAGCATGTGGTTCTAGGAACCGGCGAGCTTTACATGGACTGTGTGCTCCATGACCTCCGAAAACTGTACTCAGAGATGGAGATCAAGGTCTCCGACCCCGTTACACGCTTCTGTGAGACCGTGGTGGAAACCTCTGCCATCATGTGTTACTCGATCACTCCGAATAAGAAGAATAAAATCACCATGATTGCGGAGCCTTTAGATGATGGGATTGCAGAGGATATTGAAAGTGGTAAAGTCAGTATCAAGGATCCTATTCGGAAGGTTGCTCGATACTTCGAAGACAATTATGATTGGGATAAGCTTGCAGCCCGAAGTATCTGGGCTTTTGGACCGGATGAAATGGGTCCCAATGTTCTCCAAGATGACACTTTACCCTCTCAAGTGGATAAGAAGCTTCTCGGTACTGTTAGGGACTCTATCACTCAAGGCTTCAGCTGGGGTACACGGGAAGGCCCTCTTTGCGAAGAACGTAAGTTTTTTTAAAAAAAAACCCCCTCCCTTTTCATTCATTCTCCAATGATCTCGCAGTCTGGGCGCAGATGATGAATGTGACGCTAATTGAAGTTCAGCTATTCGAAACACAAAGTTCAGACTCACAGATGTGTCCCTGGCCGATCAGGCTATCTACCGCGGTGGAGGCCAGATCATCCCTACCGCCCGCCGTGCTGTATACTCGTCGTTCCTCATGGCATCTCCGCGTCTCATGGAGCCGATCTATTCTGTCACAATGACAGGACCTGCCGACTCCGTGGCTTCCGTGTACACGGTCTTGTCCCGCCGAAGAGGTCACGTCCTGTCAGATGGACCTATTGCAGGAACGCCGCTTTACTCCGTACGTGGTTTGATCCCAGTGATTGACTCGTTTGGATTTGAGACCGATCTCCGCATTCACACACAGGGTCAAGCTATGGTAAATCTTGTGTTTGATAAGTGGAGTGTGGTTCCCGGTGATCCACTGGACCGTGATGTCAAGCTTAAGCCCTTGGAGATGGCCCCTGCCATGGCCACAGCCCGGGACTTTGTCTTGAAAACACGGAGACGCAAGGGTCTGGCCGAAGATGTTACTGTGAGTAAATTCTTGGAGCCGGAACTTTGGAAGGGTTTGAAGGAAAGTGGTGTGCTGGACTCATGATTTCAAAAAAAAAAAATTCACTACATACTATGTACGCAAAAATTTAGGGTTGGCTACAGGCGAGGGGGGAGTCCTTTGGTCCGGTGTCAACAATCTTAAGTAGAAAAGTCCATATGTACTTTTAATACTCATTTCCAATGCAAGTCATTCAAACTCTTATAGAGCTGTTCGTCGTAGGCGGTCGTCACACACACGAGAGGGCCTGGTCTATTTGCTGGTGATAGGTACCTGGTATTGTGCATCACCAATGCAATCCAGACCTCGCTTATAGTACAAAGTGAGGGTTTACAATTTCAGTGGCAAGTCTCCATCATTTTGGCAATGACCCCCATCAACGCACCATTCTCCAAGGCCGCGGCAACCCGCTCCTTATCGGCGAGCTGCTTGTTGACTTCATCTCCGGTACTGTGCGTACCTTCCTTGATACGCACATCCATTCGGAATCTTGAGGGGAGAGACTGTTCCAAACGAACGCGGACGCCAAGACCGATGACGGTTGCCAGACTGCAGTGAGTGATTGTAGGTGTGATAAGCACGGTGACAGTTTGCAGAGGTGAATCAGGGACGTCGGGAAGGGTTGGCTTGATCGCAATATCTGGGAGAGATACCACAGCTAATTCACCGAGGGAGATGGGGTGTTCCGGGTCGGAAATCGACGAGATGAGATCTGAACATTTTAGTGTACTGAGTCTGAGCTAGGTAATCATCTCGGATGATATATGGGACTTTCTTTCTTTCTTTCTTTCTTTTTTTTTTTAGAGAGAGAGAGAGAGAGAGAGAGAGAGGAGGGGGATGTATAAGAGTCTTACCATATATTTCCTGTTCATCAATGGGCTCCTCCATCAGGTTGTCATCCTCTGAGTCAGATGACGGAACACTCTCAAAGTCTACTGGGGTGAGGGGTAGGGCGGATGTGAAGATACTAGCATATTCGGACTTGCGAGTGACGGTTGGTCGTAACCGCGTGGGGAGATCAGCAGCATTGAGGATCGTGGGGTTTGAATTTTGGATTTCCGCCATGATGGAAATAGGGGTAACAAAGGACCAGGGTAGAGAGTGTAAATCACAGGGTGTGTTGGTCAAGTGTGGTCAAGTGTGGCCAAGATGAGGGGGAAGGAAAATTGTGATAACGTTATCAGGTTCAGTTATCAAGTTCACGTGCAAGGCCTCGGTAAGGATACCTGTACGGAGTACCGAGTATTACATATATATATATATAACTATATAACTATAGGTATGTATGTATATGTATATGTATATTGTAATATAGATGTAGTTATCCCCTATAGTTAGTTAATAGTAAGGATATTATGAATTAGTCTGTACTTCCAGGGCTACCTAAGCTTAACTCCGTACGTTCTCCGTCCTCCATATGTAAGCTGACAATCCCAGCGGCTCGGGATGATCGACAAGCCGAGTTTAAAATCGCCTTTTTGTTCCGAAGTCTCCCCGGCAGTTTTCTAATTCTTCAAGGTTTTGTAGACCGTGTCTTTTCCGAAAATACGGAGTAATTGGGTTTCAAACTACTTTAGAATGGAATTTTT